CGTGTGGGGAAGCACTTCACAAGCCCAGGCTGGAGCACTAGCGTGGGGCCTTGTATCTTGAGGGTCCACAGACCTCAAGACGCCATTGCCGGAAGCTGACAACCCAACGCTTCGTACAGGAAGGAGGAAAGGGCGTGTATAATTTTTATGAGGAATTAGGCCAGTGCTTCATTCTTCTGCTTTCTTTTTTTTTTTTTTTAATGTTTTTATTTTTTAAAATTGACAGCCAAATTAGCATATAGTGCAGCCATGATTTCAGGAGCAGATTCCTTAGTGCCCCTGACCCGTTTAGCCCATCCCCCCTCCCCCAACCCCTCCTGCAACCCTCAGTTTCTTCTCCGTATTTACGAGTCTCTTCTGTTTTGTCCCCCTCCCTGTTTTTATGTTATTTTCGTTTCCTTTCCCTTATGTTCATCTGTTTTGTCTCTTAAGGTCCCCATATGAGTGAAGTCATATGATATTTGTCTTTCTCTGACTAATTTCACTTCACATAATACCCTCCAGTTCCATCCACGTAGTTGCAAATGGCAAGATTTCATTCTTTTTGATGGCCGAGTAATACTCCGTTGTATATATACGCCACATCTTCTTTATCCATTCATCCATCGATGGACATTTGGGCTCTTTCCATACTTTGGCTATTGTCAATGGTGCTGCTATAAACATGGGGGTGCATATGTCCCTTCGAAACAGCACCCCTGTATCCCGTGGATAAACGCCTAGTAGTGCGATTGCTGGGTCGTAGGGTAGGTCTATTTTTAGTTTTTTGAGGAACCTCCATACCGTTTTCCAGAGTGGCTGCGCCAGCTTGCATTCCCAATTCTGTTTTGTTTTCTATTGAACTCAACATGGATCAGTGGTTACAACTGGGATTTTAAAGTTTAACAGCAGATGAAGATCAACCCCAGCAACACCAAAATACATATTCCCAAAGTTATTCATTGTAACATTGCTTTTTGTGTGTGTGTGTATTCATTTTTGAGAGAGACGGAGGGAGAGCGGGGGAGGGGCAGAGAGAGAGGGAGACACAGAATCCGAAGCAGGTTCCAGGCTCTGGAAGCTGTTAGCACAGAGCCTGATTTGGGACTCAAACTCATGAACTGTTAGATAGTGACCTGAGCTGAAGTCAGACGCTTAACCGACTGAGCCACCGAGGCACCCCTGTAACAGTGTTTATAATTGCAAAATATTGCAATATAAGTATGAAATGTCCATACTTGGGAGTGTGGTTGAATAAACAGATACATCTATACAATAGAATACTATGTGGCCATTAAAAAAAAAGTGAGAAAAATGTCTATGAACTGAGTCGCAGTGACTCCTTAGATATTGTGTCCAGTGTAAAAAGCCAAGTGCCAAAGGCTGCATCCATAGAATGCTACCTTTTATGTAACAAAAGGAGATACTTTCTTTTTTACTTTTTTTAATGTTTATTTATTTTTGAGAGAGAGACAGAGTGCGAGCAGGGGAGCCGCAGAGAGAGGGGGAGACACGGAATCCGAAGCAGGCTCCAGGCTCCGAGCTGTCAGCACAGAGCCCGACGCGGGGCTCGAACTCACAAACTGTGAGATATGACCTGAGCCCAAGTCGGACGCTCAACCGACTGAGCCACGCAGATGCCGCTAAAGGAGATATTTTCAGACCAATGCCTGTACAGAAATGTTCATGGCTGCTTTGTTCATAATAGCCCCAAACTGCAATCAGCCCAAATGTCCACCAATGGACGAGTGGGTAAACCCTGTGGTGGGGCCGCACAACGGAACACGACTCAGCAATAAAAAGAACAAATTACCGAGGAACACCAGAGCAGGGATGGATCGCAGAAGCCTCAGGGCCAGTGGAAGAAGCCCGTCTCGAAAGGTGACCGGCTGTACGCTTCCATGTATGTGACATGCTCAAAAGGCAAAACTAGAAGGCCAGAGAAAAGGTCGGCGGCCGCCCAGGACTGGGAATCGGGGAGGCCCTGATGGGAAAGGGGCAGCGCAAGAGCATCGCGGGGCAGAGGGGCAGTGGCTCGGTCGGTTAAGCATCAGACTCTGGGTTTCAGCTCAGGTCACCATCTCAAGGGTTCTCTGCAAACCTTGTAGGATCAAACACTCCCCCTCGCGACCTGTGGGAGGAGTGCCCCCAAATGATTGGAAGCAGCCTCCAAGAGAGAGGACCCTGTCCCAGGTCCTAGACCGCCTCCCTCACAGAAAAGGAAAGGACCCTGTACCCTCAGGGCAGTTGCCGCCTCGGGGCCTGCCAGCTGTCCCACCTTAAGTGTACTGTCACTAACAAAGCTGCTTTCTGCGTTCACTTTGGGCGCCCGGGCTCTAATCCCTTATTGTGTCCCTGCTAAGAGCACAATGCTTTTTGCACTGGGGCGCCTGGGTGGCTCAGTCCCTGAAGCGTCTAACTTCGGCCCCCGTCCCGAGCTCATGGCTCGTGAATCCGAGCCCTGCATTGGGCTCCCTGCTGTCAGCGCAGAGCCCGCTTTGGATCTTCTGCCCCTCGCCTGCTCTCTCTCTCTCTCTCTCTCTCTCTCTCAAAAATTAAAAAAAAAAAAAATTTAAAAACAGTGCCTTTTACGCCAACACAGTACTACAGATGTATCACTCTATCAACCTGGACCATCTCTCAGAGTTGTAACCTACCAGCAGCCAAGAAACTAAAAGTGTCATGTGACTACCATAAAAAAAAAAATTGAAATTTGGATTACTGTGGCCTGGTCACGGGAGCTAATTAAATTCCATGAGGTGACAGCATAGTTCCTGATATAGAGCAAGTATTTGTTAAATATTTGTGAAATGAATAAATGAGTGATTGAATGAATGAATGAATGAATGATTGAATGAAAACCTCACCTAGTTTTCACGCGAAGGCTTCCTGCGTCAAACATCATCGAAACTTCTGAAGCGGAGCAGAAGGATGTCCAAGCATCGCCTAAAGTTAAATACCGCGTGCCAAGGGATAAAAATGCCAAAGCCATGGAAGCCACATTTTATGGTGTTTATATTTCACTGCAAGGGGCGCCTGGGTGGCGCAGTCGGTTAAGCGTCCGACTTCAGCCAGGTCACGATCTCATGGTCCGTGAGTTCAAGCCCCGCATCGGGCTCTGGGCTGATGGCTCAGAGCCTGGAGCCTGTTTCCGATTCTGGGTCTCCCTCTCTCTCTGCCCCTCCCCCGTTCATGCTCTGTCTCTCTGTCCCAAAAATAAATAAACGTTGAAAAAAAAAATTTATATTTCACTGCGAAGGTTTTGTTTTTTAATTTTCTTAATGTTTATTTATTTTTCAGAGAGTGAGAGAGACAGGATGTGAGCAGGGGAGGGTCACAGAAAGGGAGACACAGATTCCGAAGCAGGCTCTGGGCTCCGAGCTGTCAGCACGGAGCCCGCCGTGGGGCTCGAACCCACAAACCAGAAGATCACGACCTGAGCCAAAATCGGATACTCAACTGACTGAGCCACCCAGGCGCACCCTGAAGTCATTGTTGACACGTCTGCCAAAAAAACTGCCACGGAAGACAGGGTGACGGTGAGGACTGGGGCTAAAGCCAAGTGTCCCTGTCAAGTATCAGTTCACTTTAGAATTCCAGATGCGGCTATAAACGTAAAATGGCAAATATCCAATTCTGACCAGGCCGAATATCATCCAGTGCAAATTGAATCCACTGATCTTGTGAATTCAGCTAATCTTCTGCTATTTATCACACATGACCTAGAAACTTTCATGAAGACGTTGTGTTTCGTTCATCTTTGCCCAATCGTACGGCGGAAAAGAGATTTCCTTCCTCCCTTCCTTTTTTTTTTTCCTTCCTGTAACTAACGATGGCAGAGTGACGTGCGTCAACCAGCGCTCCGGGCGCGGCGGGGGACACAGCTGTGAACAAGCGACAAGATCCCTGCCCTCGTGAATCTTACACTCTGGTAGGTGAAAACACAGGCGATCAACCGAGAAAGAAAAGTGGCAGATCGGGACAGATGCTATAGGGAGAATTGGAAGGTGGCAAAATGTGGTAGAGTGAACAGGGCCTCCGTGGAATGGGTAGAAAGGCCAGCGCTCTGGGGCGCCTGGGTGGCTTGGTCGTTTAAGCGTCTGACTTCGGCTCAGGTCATGATCTCATGGTCCGTGAGTTCGAGCCCCACGTCGGGCTCTGTGCTAACAGCTCAGAGCCTGCAGCCTGTTTCAGATTCTGTGTCTCCCTCTCTCTGCCCCTCCCCTGTTCATGCTCTGTCTCTCTCTGTCTCAAAAATAAATAAACGTTAAAAAAAAAAAACAAAAAACAAAACACAAACACACCAAACCGAAGAAAGGCCAGCGCTCTGGGGAGGTAACGTTTCGGCTGAGCTTTGAACGAGCCGAAGGAACCAGCTCCTCAAATGTCTGAGGAAAGAACTTTCCAGGCCGAGGGAGCAGCGGCGAGAGCACGTGGTTCTCAAAAGGAACAGCACTGGCTTCTAGGGGGGCGTTTTGAAAATTGGGGCAGGGGCTGCCTCACCGATTGCGGTGCTCTCCTGGCAATCAATGGGCAAAGGCCAGGCCTCTGCGATGCAGGGGAATGTCCTGCCGCCTTCATGACTTCCATAGATCCTACCAGACACTCGTGTTAATAATAATCATCCGAGTTGAGAGCTTAACTCTGCTCAACTCAAAGATGCACCGGCTTTTGCATGGTTTCCTGTGCAGGAAATTTCCCAGGAACACAACTAACACGTAAGTGGGAGGTAGGTCGTATTTTGTTGCATTCGGACCTTCACCAAGAGCCGGTCAACATTTTGAAACCGACCCCTCCTGAGGGTAAAGCCAATGTCACAGAAAACACTGTACCGAACGGGAATGCTTCAGAGGAAATTGATGGCGGATGAGAGCATTTTTTTAATTGGTAGAGATTTTGTTGTTGTTGTTAAATTGGCAAAAAGAGCGAGGGAGGGAAACAGTACTGTGAGGAAGGAAAAATTACCTCTGCCCTCCAGGATCCTTCTAGCTGGAGTAAGAAGCAAATGGACCGGAGACAAATTAACAGGAGAAAATCAAATTTAACTTCAGGGGCATAGGGAATCCACACACACATAAGATTCCAAAGACAGCCAGGCAGTGCGAAGTCACCCTGAACTAAGGAGGAGGAAGGAGTCTGAGACTACAAAGGGAAGGAATGCTCACAGGAAGAATGAAAAAGAGCGAACGTGGTAAATAAATGTTGACTGGGTCATCCAGAAACAATGGGACACAGGGAAGATTTTGATCGACCAGACCTTGATGAATTCCTCGCTCTCCACCATACCTACTTCACATTATAATGTAGGTAAATATGGCAATGGCTCCCTTCCTGGAGCACGTCCCCAATCTCATTTCTTTGAGGCAGTTTTGGGGGCAAGGTCAAAATTTCTCCCTGCGTCTTCTGGGCCTGGATTGTTTTCAGTTCGGCATGATCTGCGTGACCAAAGTGGCACATCTTGGGGGCAGTCGGCCTTGGCCCCTACAACACAAAAGGGCGCAGTCAAAACTCAATCTCCCTTGCACCTCTGTTCCCAAGTTTCACGTTTCCCTTCCTTGAGGGAACCTGTTGAATAGCTTTTTGGATGTCTGTCCAGAGGAATGATCTCGCTTTTGTTTAAAAGAAAGGCTGGCATGGGGCGCCTGGGTGGCTCAGGTCATGATCTCCCAGTTCATGAGTTTGAACCCCGTGTCCGGCTCTGTGCTGGCGGTGAGGAGCCGGCTTGGGATTCTCGCTCTCTCCTCTCTCTCTCTGCCCCTCCCCTGCTCGTGCTCTGTCTCTCGATAATAAATAAACACTTAAAAACGAGAAAAAAAGAAAAAAGAAAAGAAAAAAATTCAACTGAGTAAATGTAAAGATAAAATTGCCAGCACCCCATCTAGCAGATAGTAAGGAGCTCCACTGAGCTGCAGCCGAGGGTTTTAAAGGTGGGGGGTGGGTGGGCCGGTACTCTTAGCAAAGAATGCATTGTTTTAGGCAAGGTCACCCCCCTAAGGGGAATGGGAGGGTCCAGCAGCGTTACCTCCAAATGCTGACCAGAAAAGTCCCAGGTTGGTTAAGGACCACGTTTCTGGGAGAAGCTGGGAAGCTGCAATTAGCCTGGGTACTAAGTTTTGGTGGGGTTTAACGTAAGTGACTCCATTTTTAACAGAAGGAGGGAACAAAGGGAGGGGGAAACCCACATAAAGGAGTATCTGAGCGTGAAAAAAAAATGCAAAAAAAAGTGCACAGATGCCTGCCAAGCTCTTACCCCTGCGCGCCTCGAAGCATGTGCAGGGGGCGCCTAACTCTCTTTAATACACTTCTGTACTGTTTGTCCCAGCTTCTGACAGGCATGTACTACTTCTGTAATTTGCAAAATTCCACAAGGCTAAAGAATAGAAGACAAATTAAGAGAGCAGGCATCGACTAACTTTGGTATAATCATAGCAAGATAGGGATGCCTGGGTGGCTCGGTCGGTTGAGCGTCCGACTTCGGCTCAGGTCATGATCTCGCGGTTGGCGAGTTCGCGTCCCACGCGTCAGGCTCTGTGCTGATAGCTCAGAGCCTGAAGCCTGCTTCGGATTCCATGGGTCCCTTTCTCTCTGCCCATCCCCCACTCGTTCACTTTCTCTCTCTCTCTCTCTCTCTCTCTCTCAAATAAATAAACATTAAAAAAATTTTTAAAAATCATAGCAAGGTACACTATAATCTGAGAAACATCAGCAAGTCAACTAAAGTAATTTATTGTTTAAAAAAAAAGCCCAAACTGGAGTCACTTGCCCCCCACCTAGGACAGCAAGCCGAGATTTAGTTTCCACCTCTCCCAGGAATGTGACTTTCTAACAGCCAACCTGAAATGTTTCCCTCAGCACTTGTCATGTAACCTGCATGATAAACACCCTGCCATTCCCTTCCGGCACTGCCCACCCCTCCAAAGCAGGTGTCCTGGCCCACAGCAATCCTTTCTTTTCTTTTGCTAATAACAATCCCAAGGAGGCTCCAGGCTCTAAACTGTCAGCACAGAGCCCTACGCAGGACTCGAACTCACGAAGAACCGTAAGATCATGACCTGGGCCCAAGTCAGAGGCTTAACCGACTGAGCCCCTCACGCGCCCCAATTTTTATTTTAAAGTAATCTCTACACCCAACGTGGGGCTCGAACTTGCAACCACGAGATCAGGAGTCGCACGCTCCACCGACTGAGTCCCGCCTCCTCTTTAAAAAGTAACCGTACCTTTTTTTTTTTTTAATTTTTTTTAACGTTTTTATTTATTTTTGGGACAGAGAGAGACAGAGCATGAATGGGGGAGGGGCAGAGAGAGAGGGAGACACAGAATCGGAAACAGGCTCCAGGCTCTGAGCCATCAGCCCAGAGCCCGACGCGGGGCTCGAACTCCCGGACCGCGAGATCGTGACCTGGCTGAAGTCGGACGCTTAACCGACTGCGCCACCCAGGTGCCCCCAGAGAATTCTAGTTTCACATCACATTCCTTTTCCAAAGCTGGGGATCCTTAACCTGCTAGTGCTTCTTCACAGACGTTTCAACGAGGGTGCAACAGAAGCAGTAACGTTAGCTTGAGTCTACAAGGCACAGTGCACATCCAAGACACCGTCAGAAACTGATTTATGGTTAAGATTAACGCACACCAGGTTGTCAATCCTAGCGAATGAACGGGCCGTAGCAGAGTAAAAAGAACACACCTCATTGTGTTAGCACCCTATCGCGAAAAGACAGGACAGGCAATACATATTCCTGTTTGTCATGTTACCGTTTAACGCACCTGCAGTAAAAAGAAACATACACTTTTTTACTTTCTGGGTTAAAATAAACCGTCTCCCAGCTCCCAGCTATGAAAAGGGAAACACTTGTTCCTGCCTCTGGCTCACTGGAGCATCTTATTCGTGCTGGGGACAAAAAGAACAGCAGCGCTGGAGACAAGAGCATGTATGTACCCTGTCGTCAGGACGGGTGCACTTGTGACGCTCACGCAAGCTGCCTTAAAACAAAATGAAAAACACGAGTGCCTGGGTGGCTCAGTCGGTTAAGCGTCCGACTTCGGCTCGGGTCACGATCTCACGGCTCGTCGGTTCGAGCCCCGCATCGGGCTCTGTGCTGACAGCTCAGAGCCTGGAGCCTGCTGCGGGCCCTCTCTCTCTGCCCCTCCCCAGCTTGTGCTCTCTCTCGCTTTCAAAAGTAAATAAAACATTAAACAAAATGAAAACCAGAGGCACCTGGGTGGCTCAGTCAGTTAGGCGACTAACTCCACGTCAGCTCAGGTCTGGATCTCAGGGTTGTGCCTTTAAGTCCCGCAGTGGGTTCACATGCTGGGCACTGGGCGTGAGGCCTACTTAAAATATTACATATATATATATATATATTTAGATGCCTTTTAGAAAAGGTTTCTTTATTGTCCTGTGTGTCGGTAACTTGTAGAAAATAACTGTATGAAGGGCGCCTGGGAGGCTCAGTCAGTTAAGCATCTGATTTGGGCTCAGGGCATGATCTCACAGTTTGTGGGTTCGAGCCCTCCATCGGGCTCTGTGCTGACAGCTCAGGGCCTGGAGCCTGCTTCGGATCCTGTGTGTGTGTGTCCCTCTCTCTCTCTGCTCCTCTCCTACTCATGCTCTTTCTCTCTCTCAAAAATAAAAAAGAGGGGTCCCTGGGTAGCTCAGTCGGTTAAGCATGCGATTTTAGCTCAGATCATGATCTCACAGTTCATGGGTTCAAGCCCTGCATTGGGCTCTGTGCTGACAGCTCGGAGCCTGCTTCGGATGTGTCTCCCCTCTCTCTCTCAAAAATAAACACTAAAAAAAAATGTTTTTTAAGAAGTAAAAAGAAAAAAAAAAAGAAAAGAACTGAATGAGCCTAAAAGCAACTGTGTACCTGCGATGTTTTACCCTGAGAGACTGCTGACCGCCCCTTTCCTTTTCACTGTTATTATCAATGTGGCTTTTTAAAAAGAGAGACAGGGAGAAATTGGGAATTCTTTTTAACTTAAGAAAATTCTTCTTAAAGAAAATTCTTCTTGGGTTCTGGCCAAATCACTCTTAGCCTCCATTCCTTGCCCTCTGAAGCTTACAAAACCACTGAAAATGTCCCTATTTGAGGTACACCCTGCAGTCATAGCGGACGTGTAGTGTAGCTATTAGGTGGCAGAAGACTGACCTAGATTTGAATCCCGCCTGCCTCCAGCAGCTGTGACCTAGAGCAGGTCAACCTCCCCGTCTCGGTTTCCCCTTCTGGAAAATAATACCTAATCGTAGCACACACAGTGCCTTCGGGGGCCATGGACAGGCGGTCCCAAGATGGACCACTTCGGCAGGCCAACTCTTTGGAGCTGAGGCAATCGAGACCCCGTGAGCTCAAAAGAAACGTTTGCCCCTCCCTTAACGACACAAAAGAATTTAAATTGAGGGTCTTTTCCTGAATAAAGGGCTATTACCAGAGATAAATTTTATCTGAGTGACGCATCTGTCTGGCAGGACAAACATCTAATTACCAAACATCTGCTCTTACTGCCCGGTGGGCTGCATTCCTTTCAAGTCCCAGCCCCTACCCCCTGCTGAGTTCAGGATGATTTATATCCCTTGTTTTGCCTGTCTTTGGAATTTCCACGTGTGTGTGGTTCCCTGTGTGTACAAAATTAAATTTGACCTTCTATTAATCTGTCTTATGTCAATTTGATTCTTTTGTTTAAGTATACTTATTTCTTTCTGACAGAGAGAGAGAGAGAGAGACAGAGAGCAAGCACGAGCAGGGAAGGGGCAGAGAATCCCAAGCAGGCTGTACAAAGTCAGCCCGAGCTGCACTGGGGTGGGGGGGGCCGGGGAGGGGGCAAGGAGCTCGAACTCAGGAACCGTGAGATCATGACCAGGGCTGAAATCCAGAGTTCGGCGCTAATCGGACTGAGCCACCCAGGCGCCCCTCGTGTCAATTTGATTCTTTATCTAGAAGGACCCTGAAGGGGACAGGAAATTCTTGCTGCCCGGAGGTGCTTACCGGTGTCATTGTTCATTTAATCTTTACAACGACTCCTGGAGGAAGTAACTACAGATCGAGCAACTGAGGCACGGAGAGGTTGGACTTCCCCCAGGTCACACGGCTGGTAAACTGCGGAGCCGAGATGCTAAGGCAGGTTCCAGAGTCCAAACTCTAGCCGCCACCACGTACAGCCTCTCCAAAGGAGGGCAGTAAACGAGGACGTACCTGTTCAAGGATGATTTGAGGATTAAATGGGATCATGTGCGGGAGGGAACCCGATGTTTGACAAGGGCGACGGGTGGCAGCTGTGTGTAATCGGTTTCTTTTCCCCTTCTGCGTTGCGAAACTGGCCCGCCTTCTTCTTGGAGCAGAAAAGCAGAGGTCGGAAGGAGAGCCCCGGCCCGGGGAGGAAGCGGCCGAGGTGGAATGTGGAAAGGGGAGGGGGGGCGGGGGAGGAGAGGTAA